AGTCAGCTGAGGGAAATCGTACAAATGAAGAAGCGCTTGCTGCCTTTGCTAAGCGGCTTTCGGAAGAGTGAGCTTTCAGGCAAAACTGAGATTTTTCATTGGGTATTTAGTAAAATCTGCTGTTGCTTTTACTCGGTAAATGTTCGGTAAAAATGAACTTCTTTTTTTTATTTTTTAAACAATGTGAAATTTTTTTGAGGAAAAGGGGAAAGAAGAACTGAAATTTGTTCCCAAGTTTCGCTAATCCTAAGCACATTTCGCAAGGTGGTCAATAGGCCACCAAGTAATGGACAAAATTAACTCTTTTTTAAACTAGTACAATTGAGAAATGAGAAATAAAACTGTTATGAAGTAAAGTTTAAATTTTATATTTTTAAATATTGTCATATTTTTTTAAAAAAATTGTTACTATTAAACTACAATCATTGTCGACGATGAAAATGAATGTTAGTTCCTCTACTGATGTAAAAGTTGATGTGTTAGTTGTTGACTTTTATACCTATGTGTAAGCTTGGTTTCTACCTCTAATTATGAAAAATGTTCTTCGTCCCTTTTGATTCCGTAGATGAGGAAATGAAAATTTTAGATATTTTAATATTAAAAATGTTAAAATATTTAGTTGTTGTTATAAAATAAAATATAAAAGATATAGTGTGAGTTTTTATTAAATTTAATTTATTATATAATTGAGGTTAAAGGTCTTGAGATATTGAATGTCATGACCTCTTATCTCTAGATTTTATTTTTTTTTTGTATATTATATGATTAAGTTATATAATAAAGATAACTTTTGATATACATACTTTTTTTACACCTTCTTCAAGAATTTAATTTTAAACTTGAGATTCATAATTTTAAATCATATAAGACATTTCTAACTTTTTTTCTTATTCTTTATTAGTTATTCCCTTTATTTTAAAATAAATTTTACTTTTTTAATTAAGAATTTGAAAATCATTTATATATTTACTTATATTATTTAAAAAAAAAGATAAAGTGAGACTTTTTATAATAAGATAATTAATCAAAATAAAATAAAAAGATAATAATAAAATAAAAATAAAAATACAACAATTAAGTTAAGATAAATTTAAATTTAGATAAATAATAGGTATTTTAGTAACGGGGGGAGTATGAATAAGATTTGATGTAGTAAGTACCAACTGACGAAGTTATACAGTAGTTGATTGCGAGCCTCCAATGTAATCCGAAGAAATTGCCGCTTCCGACTGTACCCTCATGCAAAATCCAAACAGAACGACATAAAACCCAATCGAATGATACCTAGGAATTTCTATCAAATATCGACAACTTCCTCTGTTTTTATATGATCCATTGATTGGAACTTCTGACGAAACAAGTTCAGTGGTGATTAAAATGAAACCTCATCAACATCAATAAACCAGACTGCGACGGCGAGGTCTTCAGATAACTTCTTCCAAGAGGAAGAACCCTTCACCGGCCGTACAGTCATGGAGTCATATGATAATCATGAAGAGACACGGGGTTCTTACAGACCGACAGAATTGGAAGGAAGTCAGAGGGACATAATGCAGGCAAAGGTAGAAGAGTTAATGCAAACGAAGGAAGAGCTGAGGAGGGCCAAGGATGATACCACAGAGTCACGGTTAAACTCCAGACCTCTCATCGACGAGCTCGAAAGGCTGAAATTGGAGCTTGAAATTGCTCAAAATGGGGCTTCCGTGTCTGAAATTGTTGTTTCGGAGATTGAGTCTGAGCTGGAGAGAATAATCATGAACATCAGGTCCAAAAAGGAAGAAGAACTCAAGCCCAGGAAGATGATCAATCATCAATGAAATGAATCGTGGTGCGGATAACATTCGTGAGCAGTTGGAGCAGCTCGAGATGGAGAAGGGTGAAGAACAGAGGGATAGACTAAAAATGAAACAGATGTTGCGGCTGAGGAGGCAGACTCTTCGGACGTTGCAACTCAGACTCCGAGCTGTCCGGATAGAGACAGAAGCATTTGAAGCAACGGAGACAGAAGCATTTGAAGCAACCTCGGCGGAAGCACTTCGCTGCAGTAGTTTTTCAGAAATGGACAGTACAACTATTGAACTAACTCAGGAAGAATACTCTGCCCTGAAAAAGAAAAGCGAAGGAAGAAACTTCACTAGCTGCTTGGCGGATTTCCGTGTGTGAGGAACAGAGGATTGCAGTGGAGGCAGCTCGAGACTTTGCTCTAACGAGATTAGAAGAAATTTCCAGGCGGAAGGAAACGGAGGAAAAGATCATTCCTGGAGATGAGAGACAAAAGCCGAGGAAGAAGGAGAGGATGTGAGCGTCAAGAACAGTGGATTTGCTTTCCCTAAAGCTCTAGCCGAGGTCATGGCTAAGTCCAAACAGAAGGGTAGTTTGAAAAGCTGGGAGAATAAAATGGTGGGAAAGAAAAAGAAATCCTCCATTTTGCATAAAATAAAAGGGCGCATTCTACGGATCATAACGAGATTTTTCAGATGATTTCAAATTTATACATGTAAACTAGCAAAGAGACCAACCTGAATAAAAGTATGTTAAATTTTTAAGTTCGGCCAAAAGCATGTTATCTACATCAAGACTGAGGAATTCACAAGGAATAATCTACTTTTGGCTGCTGTGGAAAATCAAACCTTGGACAATTTTAAGGCAAAGATGATGCAGTTTATTCTCACTTATTGATGCATATTGCACTAGGTTCCACATCTTACATTTACAAGTTACTAGCAGTTGCAGTTTTTCAGACATAGAAAACTGCCCTGCATTTGGTTCTTACAGTTTTCAAGGATGCAGATAAATAAAGATTTCTAGTTCACTACCCTGCAATTCTTCCTTATCTCCCCATCGTTCCCTGTCAGCACACCCAAACCGGCCATCTTCACCATTGATGCCCCAAAGTCTTTGTTGAAAAGAAATGGGTACCTGCTGTAGTTAAGGACCATGGAGGAGGTTCTGTTGTCCCCCATTAGGACTTGGTCTGACTGGAGAAGCCCGGAATTGTTCACAAGGTTTGTATAGTAAGCGTTGTCAAATCTGTTGGCAGTAGCAGTGTCCAAAGGAGCTAATTTGGAGTCTGAATCTTCTTGATTTGGACAAAGGACTTGCAAACCCTTCAGGAGTGAGGCATCAAGGGCTGGATCAGGTTGACCAGTTCCACTAAAGTTGAAGAGCCTTTGCTTGAATGTGAAGCATTGAGCAAAACCAATGGTGTGACCACCTGAATATCATATACAGATTATTGCATAAAGAAAAAAGATGGTCTTGTGGCAATAATAAAGGCTCCTTTTCCTATCTCTGGTATTAAGTTCAATAGCAGTGGAATTATGAGAAACAAACCTGAGAGAACAACCACATCCTTGATATCAAGACCCTTTGAAGTGAATTTTGAAATGATGTTTTCTAAGGGCTCAAAAGGCGATGGAAGCTGCTGGTTAGCTGCACTCTCACTTGCTGTTAGGCCGTCCCGGCGACCCAAGGCTACTGGCCAAAGTGGTCCTCCTGCCTGCAATTACAGAATAAAAGGAAGAATGAGATGAACAGAAAGAGGATGATATGTGTACAAATTAGATGATCACATGAAATAGAGAGTTTCATACAAGAAAGACAGCGTCCCTTGCTGCAAGTGTGAGTATATCAGCACAGGAAACTGCAGATGGGCAAGCTTTTTCCACATTAGCCTTTATGTTGTCAATGACCTCAAAGCCTCTAGCTGAATTTCGATTAGGCAATGCATTCTTTTCTCCCTTAGTAGTGCTGGTATCATCAAGTAACACAGATGCATCACATCCCTGCACTCAAGAAAAGATCAAATTAATAAGGATCTGCATGTATCCTAGTTTCTTTCTTTATTTTTTTTATGTCCATGTGGAGGAAAGCAACAAGTTTCATTACATTAACAAAACAATCATGGAAGTGAAGCCGCAAGAGAGAAGCAGCCATCCTAGTCTCATTAGCAATGGCTGACCAAACACCATATCTAACAATTTTTGTCAGGTTTGGACAAGTACCATCATAGAATTTATAATCAAGCTGACAGGTAACTAGGTGATTCATGAAAAAGATGAAGAATAGGTGAAGAAAGGGAAGTTTATAGTACTGTTTCCGCTCCATATCTATAAGCTGAACAGTATATCTAAACGCTGGCTGTTATTGCAGCTCAGTAGAGATAAGTAATAGCAATTTATATGCAAATGATCCAAGGAGAACTCAATTGCTAGTTGCCAATTTGGACTGAAAATATTTGGAGAGTGGGGAACCCACTAAAGGTGTCTCTCTCATCTGTTTGGTACAATTCCATTGTTTTTGTTAATGGGGGAGAAGTCAGCAAAGTCCTACCTCATAAGAAAATAAAATTGCTCCAAGTGGCTTGATGACTCATTCCAGTAGAAAAATCATTACAAACTTTAAACTGCACTCTCAAGTTTGACTTAGAATTTCACATGTGAAGAAAAATGGTGCTCTTTATGCGTCCAAGATATTTCAAACCTTCGAGATAAGTCTTATGCCGCAGTTATTTGGTTTGTTTTTCCTGTCATAAAGCATATTTATATGACAAAAGTAGCATTTGCTCAACTGCTCAAGTAGTGGAAAATAAACATATCAGCTACTGTCATGCACTAGGCAATTAGAAATGAAAGAAAAGTTTAACCCAAACAGGAAATTTGGAAAGTGGGATCTGTTCATAGCTCACTCAACCATTATAAGGGACAGAACTTTAATGCACCTTGTTTATGAAAATACCTATTTTATAGCAACTGTTAACTGGGGTTTAGTTCAGAAGGAACATTGAAAAGGTAGTTCCTTTTTCAATCTTATGCAAAACTGAATGTGATAGACATAGATGCAGAAATGAATATTTCTGCTTTCACATTACAAATTTGCACTCAGCTGTCGCTGCTGCATTTCTGGATTAAGGGAAGAAAAATTGGCGACCTATATATATGCACTTGATTTACATAGACAATTAATGCCTACTGGTCTTATGTAATTTTAGCAGTACCATATTCAGATTTAACAAGCTTTTTGCAGCTATCAAAATCAAAATTACCCAAAGGTTGGGCGTGTGGCATTCTGTCCAAAGCAACTGGCGAGCAAAGCTTGGATTGGTCTCCGCTCATTTGTTTATTTGGAAAGATCATGTTGCAATTTGAACAATGTCACATAACCAAGTTAGATGCTATAAATAAATTTAAAAAAAATAAAAAACCCATAACCAAGTTAGATTAATCCTAAAAGTCTTCTGCACGGTGCAAAGTTTCCGACGCCAAAAAGCTGTTTTTTTTGGGGCCCAGGCATTAATCTTATGGGTACTCAAAAGTCAAAAATTCTCCTCCCAGCTCAAATTGAATCATTTTCTCCCAAAAGTACACAGAAAAAAGAGTCGCATTAATCTGAATCTAACACTGTCTTTGATTATACCAATATAAAAAGAACGCAACAAAAGGCGATGAATAGGCAACAATTCCCATTCTCTCTGAGTAAAATTTCATTTTTCTCATTCAAAAGGGACCATACTAGCATGTTCCTAACCAAAAATAGAGAACTGAATTTGTTTGTCATGATTAACAGAGGTTACAGAGCTAAGTAATCAAAGCAGCTCTCCATGCAGTCATAACAGCATGAAGATCAGCTGTACCATCCCAATAAATATCATCATCCATAACCATTTTAATGAGCAAATTAAGAAAAAGAAGAAGAGAGAGGATAATCGTACCATTCCACAACATGTCCCGTTCATCTCCTCCGATTCGGAGGCTCTTGCTGGAATTTTCTATATAGCTTGCGTTGGGGGTGGTACCATTTTGTGTTTGGATCTCTGGTTGTATATACAATTCGCACTTAAAAGCCAAAGTGTTATATTGATAAGTGTATGCATAATATGGCCGAGGCAACAAGGAAAAACAATGCACTTTCTTGATTTTCATTTGTCAGAATATCAGTGTTTATTTTAAAATATTATATTTATATTGTAATTGATTATATACATTTAAATTATTTGATTTTATACTTAAAAATATTCTATTATATAGTTTTATATCTAAAATATTCTATTGTATAGATCTATATATAAGACCTTTATATATAATATAATAAAAACAAGAAAGTAATAAATTTTTCTTCAAATTATTCTTCTTCTTTTTTATTTCTAACATTGTATTAAAGCTATAAACTCCCGTTTCTTCTCTTTTATCATCATTGTTTGGTTTTTTTTTTTTTAGTTGGATTTTCAAATCCATTCCAAATCTAAAACTTTGTTGTTGAGATCTTTTCTTCTACAAATTGAATTGTTTATTCTCAATTCTTAGATCCTTTCTAAGGTATTTTGTTGAGTTATTGTTTCAATCTTGGTATATATTTTTCATATTTTTAGAGATTTTTTTTTAGTATTGTGAGTTTTACTGATTTTATAATAAGTTTTGAAAGGATTGCAACTCATTCTACTACTACTATGGTTGTCAAAGAAGTGATAAATCAACGTAATATCAATTTTGAATCCCTAAAACATATGATATTAAATCTTTTTAATGCTCCAACTGCCTTATCTGCTGCTCCAATTACCAAACCTTGGTATTTTAATTCTGGTTGTTGTGACCATATGTCTTCAACTACTAATTTCTCTTCAATGTCACCAAATAATTGCTCTCCTAATATTTATTATGTTGATGGTTCTCTTATGAATGTTAGTCACATTGGCAATATTTCTATAAAGTCATTGATTTTACCAAATGCTTCCTTAGTTCCAAAACTTAGTTATAATCTTCTATTTGTTGGTCAATTATATGATATTGGCCTTGCAGTAACATTTTCTATTCATGGTTGTCATGTGTAGGACCCACAAACAGGCAACTTCTTAAAATTGGTCACAAGGTGGGGCATATATTTGAACTCAATTATCTACATATTCAACATCATAAAATGGATACATCATCATTTCCAAATGATTACTTCATCTAAACTTTGCTCTATGCTGTTGAATTAGAGTCTTTACAAATTTCACACCAACAAATTGTGCAAGCGAGTGCTACTACTAACATTTCTCCTTTCTAGTTGTGGTACTCACGGCTTGGACATACCTCATTTGGTAATTTCATCCACTTACCTCTCATGATTTATTAGAATCTATTCCAAATGAATCTTTGCATTGTGTGTCATGTCAATCTATAAAGCAACCAACTTTATCATTTTCAAGTAGTCATTCTCTTTCGACTGCTCCTTTTGATCTCATGCATTTTGATGTTTGGGGTCCATCTTTTACGCCCACCATGAGAGGTTCCATGTACTTTGTGTTATTTATTAATGATCATACTCATTTTACCTAAATATATTTTATGAAAAATTGTTTTGAATTATCACAAATTTATATTGCTACCATGGATAAAACTCAGTTCTCTAAAATTATCAAAGTTTTGAGAACTAACAATGCTACTGAATATCTTAATACTAAACTTCAATGCTTTCTCAAAGAACATGGTACACTAATACAACAATCTTGTCCTTACACTTTTGAACAGAATGGGTGAGTCGAATGCAAACACAAACACATCCTTGATTTTGTTCGTGATCTTCTTATTTCGTCTTCTTGTCCAAAGCGATTTTAAGGTGAAACTACTCTTACAATTGTTTATCTGATTAATCACATTCCATCATCAATTCTTATTAACCAATTTCCATGCGAGCATTTACATGATATTCTTCCTGCTTATGACCTTTTTAAGGTTTTTAGTTGTGTGTGTTTTGTTCTTCTTCCACCTCATAAACATAACAAGTTGAAGCCTAGAGCTTGATTATACTATTTTTTGGGTCATGGGATTACACAAAAAGAATTTCGCTATTGGGATTTTGTGTCACAAAAACTCCAAATTTCACCTCATGCTGTTTTCTGGGAACACACTATATTTTCATCATTGTCAAACTTCAAAGCGTCATCTTTTCATCAACCTCCATTTTTTACTAATCCTTTTGTTGAGCTATTTCCTAGTGATTATGATACAGGTACATCTGATGAGCTTTATAATGCCTCACCACATGCTTCAACTAGTTCTATAGAAAATAATTTGCTTATTGGTAATGCATTAGATAATTCTAAATCTTCCTCTACTTCCTCATTTGTATCACCTGTTAATGTTGCATTTGATATTGTTAAGTCTACAAATAAGCTTGTTGTGTCTACAAATAAGCTTGTTGTCCCATCTTCGAGTCATCTTACTCAGGTAAGAAACCCTTCCAGCTACCTTTGTGATCATAATTGTTTTCCTATTATTACTTCTTTACATGAGTCTCAATCCTATCGAGAGGCCTCTACTAACTATATTTGACAACAAGTTATGCAAGATGAATTACAAGCTCTTAAGAACACTTGTACATGGGATTTAGTAGATTTCCCTACTGAAAAGTCTCTGATAGGCCGTAAATGGGTGTATAAAATCAAAACATAATCTGATGGTTCTGTGGAGAGTTATAAGACACGCTTGGTTGTCAAGGGTTTTACACAAGAGTATGGAATAAACCATGAGGAAATATTTGCTCCAATTGCTAGTTTCACATTTGTGCGCAGTTTGCTTGTTATTGCTACTATACAGTGATTGAAATTATTTCAGATGGATGTAAACAAATGCCTTTCTTAATGGTGACCTAGAAGAAGAAGTTTATATGAAACCATCTCCTAGGCTCAACCATCCTCCAAACAAGGTATGCCAATTGTGACATGCATTATACAAGTTGAAGTAATTCCCTCGAGCCTGGTATGCAAATTTTAGTGCTACTGTGAATGAGTTTAGTTTTACTTCAAATCCACATGATACAACTCTATTCATTCATAAGACTACTTGGGGTATGGTTCTTTTACGTCTTTATTTGATAATATGATTATTACTAGAGATGATACCGCAAATGTTGAGGGGCTAAAACAATCTTTCAGTCAGAAATTTGAGATGAAAGATCTTAGTGATTTGAGTTACTTTTTGGGGCTTGAAATCACCTTTTTAGATGATGACTACCTACTTTCTCAAGTAAAGTATGCCTCTAATCTTGTTTCTAAAGTTGAACTCAATGGTAACAAGAGCATTTCTACACTTTTTGAATTTAATATCAAGCTTTCACCTATGAATGGTTCTCCGCTTTCTAATTCTACTCGCTATCAACAATTGGTTGGTAGTTTGGTTCATTTTACCACGACACGCCCTGACATAGCATATGCAGTTCACATTCTTAATTAGTTTATGGCTACTCCTCGCTCCAATCATTATGCAGCAATACTTCACATTATTCACTATGTTAAGAGAACATTGTTTCATGAACTCCATTTTTCTACTAATTCTTCCCCTGTGCTTCATGCTTACTTTGATGCTGATTGAGTTGGTGATCGTTTTGATTGCAAATCTACCATTAGTTACTGTCTTTTCCTTGGTAATTCTCTTATTTCTTAGCAGAGTAAGAAACAAACTATTTAATCTCGCTCTAGTATTGAAACTGAGTATAGAGCTCTTGGTGATATTACATTAGAAGTTCTTTCATTACGATGGCTTCTTGAAGATACGGGCATTCCTCAGCCTTATATTGTAATAATTAAAGTGATATACAAATTACTCACAATGATGTCTTTTATGAACGCACAAAGCATATTGAAGTTGATTGTTACTTTATTCATTATCATACTGCAGAACTATTTGTTTGATTTTCATTAGTTTTGCTAATTAGCTTGTTGATTTGTTTACCAAGACTCACTTCCATGGATGCTTTTAAACTCTTCTTTTCAAACTCAAGTTGGTTTCCTCACCACCATCTTGAGTTTGTAGAGATGTTAGAATATCAATATTTATTTTAAAATATTATATTCATATTATAATTTATTATATA